AAGGCACCTGAAATGGCAGAGTCCACTCCATGAACTACCTAGAAAGATTAGGCAAATCGCGGTCACTTTTTTTTTTCTTCCTGATCTTGCTGCCTTGACACTCTCAAGGACCAAGTCCCAGCTTGGCCTCGGTTTAGTGTTGGAGGCTGCCTCAGCCCTGCTTACTAGCCGGGTGGTCCCAGGCAACTTAATTACGGTCTCTGAGGCTACTTCTCATCTGTAAATGAGATTAATACATTTACTGGGGTTGCTCAGAGGATGAAATCAAATAACACTGAGCTCAATTAATTGTTACTCCTTCCCTTTCTGCTTCACCCCTGAAAGTGCTGCTGGGCTGTCCTATCAAATAAAGCACCTGGGCGACCAAAGCCATCAATTACAGGACCGCTCGCAAGCCGAGACACTTCCCTGCTGCAGAAAGAGCTGGCAGAACATTATTCACATATGGTGACTTTCCATGGAAACAGACAAGCAATTTCAGACACTTGCTCTTCATCTCTCTTCTTCTGTGACAGCTAGACACCTCCTTCGGACACTCAGTTTGTTTTACTTTGGTTACGAGTTGACTTTTCATTGCATAAAATGTTTTAAATGAAGATAACTCCTGAAATACTGGATGATGTGACGGAGGCATAATAAAACGTGGAGGGGTGTGTGCACATGTGTGTGTGACCGTGGGAATGGAATGAGAGGTGTTGACTGGGAGGAGCTGGAAATGCACAGTCCTGGTCTCTCTGAGGGTGAGCCCTGGGCTGGAGTCTGAAGGGGACACCCGGCCAGCCACACCTATGTGCCCCTGGATGAACTGATGCATGAGCAGGAGGCAGCCCTCCTCTGTGACACCAGGGCAGTTGTTCCCAACTCTGCTTTAGAAAAGAGATAATACCTGGCTCTTCCTGGGTCAATGAAATCAGAAGTCCTGGGGTCCAGCTGAACAAATATTTTTTAGTCTCCTCAAGTCATTCTGCGTGCTTCCAAAGTGTATTCAGTTGCCATATTTCAATATTATGAAATTCCTGGCCAATGAAATAAGGAGCTGCCAGTCAGGTTTATTTATTGGGCTGCCAATGAGCTATGTCATAGGCTGATTACATCCACTAAAACTCACACCGTGAGGTCCAAACTTCCAGTACCTTAGAACGTGACTGTATTTGGAGCTATGGCCTTTAAATAGGTGGTTGAGTTAAAATGAAGTCATTAATGTGGGCTCTGATCCAATATGACTGTTGTCCTTGTAGGGGGGATTAGAAAATAGACACACAGAGAGGGAAGAGCCTGTGAGGTCACAGTGAGAAGACAGCCTTCTTCAAGTCAAGGAGAAAGGCCCCAGAAGGAACCAACCCTGCCAAGATCTTGATCTAGGACTTCTACTATCCAGAACCATAGCAAAATAAATCTCTGCGGTTTAAGCCACCCAGTCTGTGGCACTTTGTTACGGCAGCCCACGCAGACTGATATGACCTGGTATTAAGTGCCACTTATTGCTTACTTGGGTTACTGATGGCAGAGAGCAGAACAGTGGCCACGTGAACCACGTCCACTATACAATGACCTTTCTTTGAAGCCAAAGGACATTTGAGGACAAGGAAGACCTTGCAGACTGCCCCCACTATCTTTGTCTCTCATCCCCTCTCCCTCCTGCTTCTCACACTTTCCACTACATGCTAAAAGCAGGGCAAAACCAGGAAGAAAGGGAAGAAATGGGTGGAAAGAGAAGACTTAAGTGTGTCCTCATCAGAGAAACAACAGAATAAAACCAGCAACAACAAAAAGTCAACAAGTACTGAAGTGCTACTGCAAACCAAGTCCAAAAGATACATTGAAGCCCCACTCTTTAAGGCAAAGGTTTTCATTGATGGGGTCGCAAGGATACCCCACCTTCCTCTCAGCTCTCACCCCCACACTCCAGTTCCTGTCCTTGATCTTTTATACTTCCCTTTGCTTTCTTCAAAGCAACCCCTCAAAAATCAATGACCAATTTGGCTATCTCAGGCCAAATCCTCAATTGGAGAATGCAGTCAATAGAATGGAACCCCATCCCAAAGAGGAAAATGGATGGAAGCCAGGCACATTTGAAGATGGGCTTAAGGATCAGAGGCACTAATTTTGCATGCACCATGCTTGCCTTCTCTAGGACACATTTTTTAAGGCAGTGATGATAGTCTTCTAGTGGCCACTGGCAGCATCTCAAAATCCTCAGGGAAGAGAGGGAAGGGAATGCTTGGGAGCCTGTGTCCCAGCAGGCTTGGAGGTGATTAGCACAAGTCACGAGCATGGAGGGGGAGGAGGGGGCCAAGATGCAGCCTCTGTGTTATTAAGAGATCTGATGCTGGAATCCCCAGGGCAAAAAAATCAATGACCCAGGAAAATGACACCAGCTGACAGCCTCAGGCAAAGGCTCAAGGAAGAGTTGCAGAGAAGAGAAAGGCTTAAGTAACTTTCCCAAACTGCAAAGCAGACCTCCTGGGAGGCCCTATAGTGTACAGACTGTGGCTGGGACCCCTGACATTTTGGCACTTTCTTTCATATGTATAAACCACCCTCCTGCAAAGGAGTCTCCCTGCATCTTGCACCAGTTTTTGATGTTTCCCTTATTTAGAAAACAAGCCAGCATCTGTATAGTCAAACATGCTCTCTGGTCCTCTGCTATTGTTGTAAAGCTCTGCGGGGGAGGGTCCCCTGTCTCTGTGGAGCCTCTGTTTCATTTCTATATACTCCGCCAAGTTCATAAAAAGGGGAACAGGACTGTCTGTCCCCAGGAAAGCAGGCTTTGAGATCACGGGGAATCATATGATCAGGACCTACTGCTTCAACCAACACATTCAAGTGGACACGAAGACTCATTTTTGGAGCTCAGGAGTTTCCCTCCATGCCCTCTAACACACGGCTTGGGGTAGGGTTCCTAAAGTTTCAAGTAAAATCAGCTGACTTTGCAAAACTTCATCTTTCTTCCTGAAACTTTTCTAATGTTTTCTTGATCCCATACTGTATAGAATTGGGGTTTAAACTTGAATGTGTCTGTGGTTTGTTCTCTTCTTCTTCCTCTTCTTCCCCAAAGGCTGACTTACACTTTCTCCCTAGCCTTCAGGTCCCCAGGAAGTAACACTGAAATATGGGGCCGGGTTGTGGATGGACCTGGCAACACCACCACCTACTGCTGGTTGCAGGGAGTTTAAAGCTCTAGAATTTGGGTCCACATGGAGAACAGAAGGAAAAGGCTTTTGTTATTCTTATTACTTACAGGAATCTGCATCAGGGCATCCATTTCCCTCAGGATGTAGTCTCCCTGTTTGATATGTCAAATTCAAGTGTGTAATTATTGCTACACAGACAATTCTAAGCTGGGGGGGGGGTAGGGCGCAGTAACCTATAGACTGTAACAAGTATTGCAACTACTTCCCTAAAGAAACAAACTCTAAGTGTATATAATCTGTGAAAACAATCTAATGGTTACAGTACAATTTGCCTAAAGCAATATTTGTTCAGTTGCAATGATGTCACCAAAAAAAGGGCTTGTCAGCTTTTCATTCTTGTCTTACAATACTCAGAGCTAGATGTACTGAACTTAGAACTGCTAGGGAGTTCTATAGCTTAAATCAGCAAATGCAAAGCTTTTGTAGCAGCCAAGAAAGTTCTATTATAAAGAAAGAGGAAGAAGGAGGAGAAAGAAATAAAGAAAAAGTCGATAGCACTTGAAAAACCCGATGCATTTCCCCAGCACATTTACCACAGAGTTTTGATTCTCTGGGGCTTGATTTTAAGGGCCATAGTTTGCTTGCCAAATAGGCATATCTTGGCTTCCTTTGCCAGGCAGGAACACTGCCTTGATATTAAATATTCAAAGCAAAGAACCTCTGACCCAAGGGCTTTCAGCTAACAATGGCATTCTCTGTAAGTAAACCAGAAACCCAACTCAACTTTTGCTTTGCCAGTGTTCTTTGCCATGTACTAGTCTACTGCACAAACAGCACGGAGGAATGACTCCATTTACCATGATTATATTGCAAAAGACCCTGCACCAGGGGGCTCCAGACAGGGTCTGTGCAAAGCCTGGACTTGGCAGAAGATCCCTGAGAAGGGGGAGTGTGGGGCTCGGAGCTGCTTCCCGGGATAGGCGGAGGGAGTGGGGGCTGTTTGCAGGCCTCCAGCCTTGCCAGTTGGAGACCCAGGGCCATAACTGTAACAAGGGCTCTTGTTATCTTAAACAAGTGCCGCGCTAATAGAAGCACATGTTTCTATAGCCATCACCAACCTCGAAACTTCACTGACTTTGCGGCCACACCTGCCACCTTGGAACTAACATCCTTTGCAGGAGGTTGGGTCGGAATTCCCAAAAAGAAAAGCCTTGTAGTTTACTAAGTAGGAGGAAGTCGGAACATTTGTATGTGTGTGAAGGAAACCAGGGAGACCGGGAACGTTGGGCACCTATTGGAAGTGAAATCATGCCCCCGAGTGTCCTCCCTGTTCTGTGAGCTTCTCCCCATCTCTCATGGAATCTCCACCAGACCTCTGTTGCCCGCAGGCTCGCTCGCTGCCTGCCGGCAAGGACTTCAGGTCTAGGGTCTCCTGCGCTAATCTCCTTACGTGGGCACCTGGGAGTCTGCTTGGGGAGCAACTTAACTATGTGGGTGGCAAAGAAAGTACAACTCCTTCCACCACAACACGTGTATCTTCTAGAGCTGGGCGCGGCACAGGGTTCAGCCTAGAGAGCCTCCAGTGAATGTGCGACTGTCAGGGCTGGGTCGCTGGTGTGGGAAAATTGACGAAGTTGACGGGAGGGCAAGAAACTCCAAACACATTACACATCCTTCCTTGGAGTGGGGGGCTACCCTGCCGCCACTGCCACACGCAACCATCTATAAGCCAAGAAAACTGACTAAGAGCACTCCTCAACTTTAACCCAACCAGATCGTGGCCCCTCGGGCAGCTGCTCCCAGCGGAGGGCTCACCTGGGGCGCAACCTGGCGCCCGGGACGCATGGCGAAGGAGGGCGCTCTTACCGGAGAAGTCTGTGAGTGCTGCGATCTCTTTGGAACAGACCAGGACCGTGCAGTAGAAGAGGCGCAGGAGCTGCCCGGGAGGCTCTACCTGCCTGCGGAGGGCGGGATGCTGCGCGGGCTGGGGCGCTGGCGGTGGGCGCGTGCGTCCTGGCAGGCGCATGGTGCGCTGCGCAGTGGGGCGCCCGCAGGGGCCCAGAGTGCCGGGGGGATCGCAGAAAGGAGGGCGGCGTCACATGGCTGGGTGCGTCGGTGGCCTGTAGCTCGCTGCCCCCCGCCGCCTCCTGGCTGTCGGAGCCTTCTCCCAGAAGCAGCCCAGCCCGGGATCCCCAGCAAAGGGGAGGGGGCGGAGAACTGGGGCGGGGCGAGGAGCCCCGGGAAGGATCCACGTAGTTTCCCCGGGAGGAAATCTCCGCTGCCGCCGCTGGTAAGGAAGCAGGGAGGGTGGGGGGCCTAGAGAAAGCGTAGCCTTCACCCGGCGGAAGCTGCGGAGGCCCGTGGCTGCTGCGTAGCAGGCAGGGGAGAGCGCCCCCAACAGCGCTCCCCAATCTGCGCCACTTGAGCGCCTTCCACGCTTGGGTCACAAACAGGGAGACTGCCCGGCACTCCTGGCCCAGCCCGCGCTGGCGGAGTGCCAGCTTCACCCTGGTCAGCCGAGCAGCGCGACCGGTGCCCGTGACGCACTTTAGAGGCATTTCGGTGTTTGCAGCCCGGGCGCTTCCCAGCCGAGGATCAAGGGAAGGTGGGGTCCTGGAGGCACAGGATAACAGCACTGCTATCCCAGCGACCCGCTGCGCTCCTTGTGTAGTCACCAAGCACTCATAATTCCCATTTCACATAATAGAAGACCGAGCCCCAGAATTTGCCTAAGGTCTGGCAGACAGGACAAGAACCAATTGGGGGGTCTCAAAAGAAGTCAAAGGGCCCCAGAACCGATTTCTTTTCCCTTCCACTATGTTTTCTTTTGCTTGCTGATTCTCAGCAGCAATTGGACATCTTACATTGGGCCGGAATAAAGAGCTGCTGAGCGCTAATAATTGGGCTTTGTTTTAAAATGGGCCACAGCATCTTTACGAACATCTTGATTACGTGCGGTGTGACTCTGGTTTGGAAGCCCAGCCCGGAGGCGAAGAGCTCGGAGGTACCCAGGACAAGTGCGTGGGAGTTCCGAAGCTGCGCTCACGGGCAGCTTCGGGGGTTGAAAGACCCCAGCCCTACGGTCCGCGCCAGCGATCCCCGCTCGGTGGCGCAGGTCAAAGGGAGAAAAGCCAGGCCGGCGAGCGCTAGGCACAAAATGTTCCTGATCACCGCCCGCAGGCCCTGCCAAGTTCCCGGCGCGCCTGACGCGGAAACGTAGATAATGAGGCCCAGAGGCGGGGCCAGGAGCACTGCCCCCGTGGGCTCCAGAGCCGCCAGTCCCTCAGACCGCTGCAGGGGGGCACGAAAGAGAAAACTTTCGGTGGTGCCCCTTCTGAGGTGGGCCACAGAGATTGCAGAGGGGCAAATGACACTGAGTTTCACACAGTGGTCCCACAGGGGCTAAGCCAGCGGAATTGGGATTTCTCATTCCCTTTTTCCCTGATGGCAATGCTAAGCATCAGGATTTGTCGAGCCGGATCCAGTCTACTAGGCACAAAGATTTTTTAAATCTACATTAAAGTAAAAACTCAGCCTTCTCAATAATCCTGGGCCATAGGTATTAATGTGCACTTCTGAGTTGGAGTCGCTGGGCCTGGGAGTGTAGATAAGAATGCTCAAGACGCAGAAGTTGCTCAGTGAAGTTTGCCCAGGGCTCCGGTCCCTCTTGGATTTTCTAATCTATCCATGTATATGAATTGGGTACAGTGTGTGCCAGGTTCTATGCTAGGGACTGGACATACTGGCAGGGTGAGACAACCACATTCCCTGGGGGGCAGGGGCTGGCTGCACTGTTCTCTGGTTCTACAGTAGCTTCCAGATGCCAGGGTGGGCATTGTTACTGTGACTGCATACCAGGCGTCCTTATCTGTAAAGTCCTCAGGTTAGTTGTGAGGATTTAATAAGTGGACACAGGTGATGTGCATAAAACAGAGCCTGAAACAGTAAGTGTTCAGTCAATATTAGCTGTGTTACAACATGGAAGAAACACATTGGACAGTTACTGCCCAGCAAATGGAGATTGGTGAAAGACCAGGGACCACTGGAGCAAAAGAGAGAAAGAAGAAGAAACGAGCAGAGAGGGGAGGGCACATGCCAGGGGCAATTCCAAGGCAAGATGGATGAGAAAGATGGCAGGAGTTGGCACAAGCTAGGCATTAGGGGAGGGTGAACATTTTAGAAAAGGGCACTAGTCTGTTGAAATCCAAAAAGAATGTGGCTCCATAGAAGGATGAAGAGATGTCTAGGGTGGTTGGGACAGAGGAAAGGGCAGGGTGACCTGGAGAGTCCAACAGGCTGGAGCTGAGGACCTTGGAGGCCTCAGCAAGCACTTCCATCTTTATCTGAAGGTATTGCTTAATGGACATTTTTATGTGAAGCTGGCAGTAGGTTATAAGCAGAGAAGTGATGTGACTGGATGTGCTCTGTAAGCGATTACCATGCTTATGGCTGGAGGTTTAGCTCAGTGGTACAGCATTTGCCTAGCATGAGTTCAATCCACAACACCAAAATAAATAAATAAATACATACATACATACATACATACATATAAGAGTATTGTGGTTGCTGAGTGTAATGTGACTAGAGGAGTCAACAGGGACTCCAGGGAACATATGCCCCACAGAGACCCAACAGTTGCTTGGGTAACATTCATTGCAGCATATTCACAGTAGTCAAATGGTGGAAGCAACCCAAGTGTCCATCAATGGATGAGTGGATCAACAAAATGCAGAATATTATTCACCCATATAAGGAATGACAATCTGACACCTTGAAGATGTTATCCTAAGAAATAAGCCAGGCACAAAAGGACAGATAATGCACGTGTCCACTTATATGAAACATTTACAACAGGCAAATTCATGGAGATAGTATGTACACTAGAGATTACCAGGAGCTGGAGGGAAGGAGTGGAGAGTTATTGTTTAAGGAGTACTGAGTTCCTGTTTGATCTTCAAAATTCGGGAAGTAGTGGTGATGGTTGCATATCTGGGATGTTAATTACAGCCACTGAATTATATAATTAAAATGGTTAAAATGGTACATTTTATGTTATATAAATTTATATAAAAAAAACAATGTAATTTGCCCAAACTCATTGGATTTTGAATGGATGAGTTGTATGACTTGTGAAAAACATCTCAAACTGCTAAAAAGAAAAAAAGTCAAACAAGATCACTAAGGTGGGTTTGAAGAGATGGTCAGGAAGGAGTGTGGTCAGGAGAGCATGGCTGTGCTCTAGGCTGGTATGCTGCAGGCCCATACAGAGAGGGAGAAGGGGCCAACTTGGAAGAAGTCTAGGAGGAGGGTGGACAGCACAGTGTAACCAGGAGGGTGTGGGACATAAGGAAGGGAGAGGAGAGTGAGGACAGCGCCCCGGCTTCCCTCTGCATTGCCCTTCAATCGTTGGCTGTTCAATTGAAAGAGTTTACTTCTAATCTGCTCTCCTTTAAGAATTTTTTTAAATTCTCTTTTTTTAGTTGTAGATGGACACGATACCTTTATTTTATTTATTCATATTTATGTGGTGCTGAGGATTGAACCCATGCCTCCCGTGAGCGAGGCCAGCGCTCTGCCACTGAGCTACAACCCCAGCCCAAGGATGTTTTAATCTTTCAAGAAAACAAAATTAACTACAGTCATCTTCCTCTTTGCCTCCCACATTTCCAAGTACCTTGATTTCCCCAATCAAATGGCAACTCCCTTCCCTGCCCTATTCCCCTCCTTCTAAATATTATAGAATCAAATACCTCAAATTTGGGGCTCTATAAAAATTCATAGGAAAGGAAGGCAGGGAAGGACTGTGAGCTTCCAAGGAGGGGAAACCTTGCAAAATCAATTTGAGCCATGAGGAGGACTAATCTTTCCTACCAAGGCAATTTTCCCCTAAGCTCTTTCTTCTATGTGGGAATTTGATACATAAAAAGCAATTGTAGCCATTTGATTATTCAGCTCGATTATGGACACTGGAATTAGGGTGAATTCTGTCTGGTGAAAGGTGATCCAAATAACAAACTGTTCCCCAAAATTAATACTCCCACCAACCGTTTGAGATGATGCTAACCAGTTAGCAACATGATTTACTGGTTCATTACAATATGAAAATGAAGGGCCGCCTTTAAAAAAAAATTGTTCAGAATTCCAAGATAGCAATAGCAGAGCATTAAACCAAGCCTGGGCTATTTGAGCATAGGATCCTGAGTGATTGCCCAGGTCACATGAAGTCAGCCCTGCTGTTACCAGTATCTCCATTTCTCAGATGAGAAAACTGAGAACCCATGCTCAGTTGGACCATCCAAGCCAGAATTTGAAGCCCTCTTGTTCTGTAAGGACACAGCAATTAGGGGATGGATGCTAAAATAAGGACTGGGGATATAGATCAGTGGTAGAGCACCTGACTAGCATGGATGAGGCCCTTGGTTCAATCCTCAGTACCACAATTCTCTGTGGGGGAAGTAGGTGTTCCTTTTTATGTTCCATTAGGCACTCTTGTCTCCTCTTAATATGATTTTAAGATGTGCCTCTGTATTTGCAAAATGCATTCTGTGTATGAGAGGAATCCTTACAGGACGTTGTAAATTAGATGTCTTATTTCATCTCTCTCTTTTTTTTTTTTGGGGGGGGGTACCGGGGAATGAACTCAAGGGCACTCAACCACTGAGCCACTTCCCTAGCCCTATTTTTTGTATTTTATTTAGAGACAGGGTCTCACTGAGTTGCTTAGCACCTCACTTTTGCTGTGGCTGAATTCTGAACTCGCGATCCTTCTGCCTCAGCCTCCCCAGCTGGGGGAGGTGGGATTACACGCCCAGCTCTCTCTCTCTTCTTTTAAAGGTAATCTGTCCCATTTTTCTAAGTTATGTTCCTATTTTCCTTCTTCCTTGAGGTCCTGGTTGTTTTCTTCTGCATATATCCCAGCCTATTTTGGAAATTATATACCTGGCACTCAAACTTTATCTCTTATCCTTTCACCTGAACC